GTTTATCCGCATTTATTTATACGAATTCAAACATCGAGCTTTTTAATAAGTTGTACTTATGCATAATTACTCGTAATCTTGAATTTTAAGTAATATGCATCAATGCACAGTACTTTATGCATTAGTTATCAATGATTATCATAATTATATTTTAGATTTTTTATATTTAAAATGGGATATTTATCCAATATTTGATTATGTTTATAAACAGTTAGTTAGACGAATTCAAGTATGGAGCTTTAATAAGTTGTACTTTAAGCATAATTTACTTGTAATTTTAAATTTTAAGTAATATGCATCAATAAACAATACTTCGTGTATAAAAAGTTATTTTTAATAGTTTTTGTCAAATGTTTTATAATATAGTATAGATAGTAATGATTATGTGTTTTTAAAAAAAACAATAATGATTTTATTTTTAAATAAAATATAAATTTAAAGATATCATAAAAAATTTAAAAAATATATATCAATGTTAATGTCAAATCAACTATTTAAAAGTTTTCATTTTTTATATAATTTCTTTAATTTATTTTTTATTATAATTGAATTTAAGTTTAATAATGAAATAATTTATTTTTGCTTTAATAATATAACATTTTATAAAGATAATAATTAAGTATTCTGTTAGAACTCAATGATTATTCTAATTATATTTTAGATTTTTTATATTTAAAATGAGATGTTTATCATGTATTTGATTGTGTTTATCTGCAGTTAGTTACACAAATTCAGATATGGGATGAAATCGGATAGGGATGAAATCGTTTAGGGATGAACGAGTTTAAGAGTTTTTAAGAGTTTTAAGAGTTTTTAAAAGTTTTAGCCAAATGTTTTATAATATAGTATAGATAGATATAATTCAATCCGTCTTAAGATCAAGAAAACAAAGATTGAATTTAACAAAAATGACACAAACTATGTTTTGTTTTTGATTATGGGCATTCATGATCAATGTAAATGTTCAAACACTATAACGATCATGAGTTTATTGATTGGTTGAATTACCAAATATTATCATTTAGGCAACGATAATGTATCATGTATCACCATTAGAAGGAAAAAGGACTACTAAGATCAGTTGATTGTACAACATAAACTAATTAAGGGTTATTTATGTACGTTCGGAGAACATGAAGGACTAAATCGGTCCAATCTTAATAATTAAACCGGAACCGCCTCATCAGCCATTTAACTCTACGCGTAGTCCCGTTTCCCTTGCGCACACACAGAAGCAAGAGACGCGCGCGCGCACACACACACACACACACACAAGGGTACGAATCAATGGACGGAACTGGAGTGGTAGCGGTGTACGGCAACGGAGCGATAACGGAGAGCAGGAAATCGCCATATTCAGTGAAGGTTGGCCTTGCTCAGATGCTTCGTGGCGGCGTAATCATGGACGTCGTCAACGAAGAACAAGCTCGCATCGCCGAAGAAGCAGGCGCGTGTGCCGTCATGGCACTGGAGCGTGTCCCCGCCGACATCCGTGCGCAAGGCGGCGTTGCTCGGATGAGCGATCCACAACTCATTAAGGAAATCAAACAGGCGGTTACGATTCCGGTGATGGCGAAGGCTCGGATTGGTCACTTTGTTGAGGCGCAGATTCTGGAAGCGATTGGGGTTGATTACGTTGATGAAAGCGAGGTTTTGACGGTGGCTGATGATGCGAATCATATTAACAAGCATAATTTTAGGATTCCGTTTGTTTGTGGTTGTCGGAATTTGGGTGAGGCATTGCGAAGGATTCGTGAAGGTGCCGCCATGATCCGTACCAAAGGAGAAGCAGGAACTGGTAAGTTTTTCTAGATTTTGCTATTTCATTGTGTAGTAACTTGTAAACCTATGTGATAATGGCTTCCAAATTTCACTAAGAAGGGCAAGGTTTTAAATCACGTAAGGCTTGGTAGTGGCGTCTGCATGGCCAAGCCTCGGAACCCTAGGAATCATGACGCAAGCCACGTGAGGCTTGGTAGTGGCGGTATATCCAAGCATTATTGGTAAATAGGGTAGTTTTTTTATGGAATAATCGAAATCCACAAATAACTGAAGTAAGGTATAGTGGGTTGTTTGATTTGGTTTATTAGTTTTGTATGTTTTGATCTTGTGTTACAACTTATGCAATATTTTAGGCAACATAATCGAGGCGGTCCGGCATGCTAGATCTGTGATGGGGGACATCCGGCGTCTGGCAAACATGGACGATGACGAGGTCTTCGGTGCTGCCAAGAACATGGGTGCACCGTATGATTTGGTGATGCAAACCAAACAATTGGGGCGGCTGCCGGTGGTGCAGTTTGCGGCAGGTGGTGTTGCTACTCCGGCTGATGCAGCTCTGATGATGCAGTTGGGATGCGATGGCGTGTTTGTGGGGTCGGGTGTATTCAAAAGCGGTGATCCGCCTCGGCGGGCTCGTGCAATTGTCCAGGCGGTCACACATTACACCGACCCGAAGGTGCTGGCGGAGGTGAGTTGTGGATTGGGTGAAGCGATGGTTGGGTTGAACCTTGACAAGAATGTGGAAAGGTACTCTACCCGTTCTGAGTAAGGATGAAACAATTGTTGGCTTTTCTCTATTTATTGTGTTTTATTTAGGTTTTTAAGCGTTTTACTTTTTGTAGTAGAAGTCAGGTCTACGTATATTCTATCTTCAGATGGGATATACTCGACTCATTTGGTTTATTCGTCTATTTAGGTTTTATTTTAGGGTGGTTGGAAAATAAGATGAACATGCATGATCACTTTTCTTCTATTTATTGCTTTATTCAAATGTTTCCTTTTGTTTTAAGTTGTTTTTTATTATTTAATCTACATTTTGTGAATAGGATTCGATTGAAACAAAGAAAACAATACGAGAATGCTATTTTTGATTTTGGACGATTTGTATGCATATGGGTTGATCTTATGACTAAATGAAGAGTTGGATAAAGCCTATATTTAATGGGTTAGGTTGGATTGGTTGGTCGATTTGAAAGCATTCAAATAATCCAATCCAACTAGTGCGGTTTTAAAAAATCTCAATCTGTTAAAAAAGTCTAAATCGCAAGTTAGGTTGGGTTTGATTGGATGGTTGTGATATAACTCTAACATCATACCTAGACAAGCATTAGTCACTACTATAAATTAACCGACCTTTTATGCAAAACAAGCCTCTAAGTCGTAAAATAACGGTTGAAATCATGATTAAGAGTTATGAATAGAGTTGATTACAGGTTAGCTTATGTTAAATATATATATATATATATATAT